TCAAAGCACTCAAAGAATGCAACAGGGTGGGCCCCGTTCTTCTCCTGAGAAATATAATGCGCACTGCATATCCACGATCCACTAATGTGAGGAGGAGGGACAGAGCGGTTGATTCATGATGTAATCTAAACGAATCAGAAGAAAACTGAGAGACAGACCCCCCCCCACCGCCCCGGAAGAGGGCACAAAAAGGGCAGGCTTCTTTTCCACCACAGACAGAAAACAGCTCCCCACCCCTCCTCCTCCTTCCACCCCGTCTGAAGTAAAAACAAGCTACTGATTCGCCTTCTCCATAGTCTATTCCTGCCTGAACTGGGCGTTACTTCCTGTCAGATGTTTCTGCATGTGACAAAGAAATGTTATAAGCAGACATAACTTGGGTCTTGGACAATGGGAGGCGCCGTGGGTTTCAGAAAATGAAATAAACTGCCGTAAGTTTGCCTTACAAAGCTGTTGTGACAATCATTACAACATTCACCAATTCCCCTTCCACTTTTACACCGCTAGTTGTCATCCCACACACAGACACACAGACACACACATAGCTGTGTTAAGGCTCTAAGAATAATGAAGCAAAAAGAAGGGGGATAAAATGCCTCTAGAAATGTGTTGTCTAACAGCAGACAGTAATGGAAGAGGGGGGCACACAAAGTTTTGGTGACAGCGAGCCAGATAGTCAACCAGGCAGTCTGGGTAGGGCACAGAGACAGAGGCCAGGCAGAGGCGATAAGGAGGCCCAGCACCCATGGGATTGAGGCCCGATAAGAGCCCGGAGCTGTCGCTGGATGACTTTATCTTACAACACCCGCTGGGAGGTGGAGGCATTGCTGGGGCTGGAGTTTGGCCAGGGGAGCAAGATGGGTTCAGGGTTGGAGCCAGAACACAAACTGAAGCTCAAACGGCCACCCGGGTGGGGGCTTCCGGGTAGGAGGGCTGCGAGGCAACACTGGGTCCCGCCACCACCCCCCGGCAATCTGTCAGACTTGGACCACCACCTAATTTATTACGACGAGGAGAGACTGAGAAAAGAAGAATCACATGAGTGGAAGAGCGAGCCAGACAGTGCTCTGCACAAAGGCTCCAATTCTGCTTTCTCACTGGTAGCGACAGCTTAGTAAACCAGCTCACAGAATAGGCTCTTGGTTAATTAAATTCCAGCTTATAAGTGGTGCTTTGGAAAAGAATGTGGGGAGAAGAATAGAAGGTGGGGGTTATAGCACATTTCAGCATGCGACAACAATCCTGGCCTAACACCCTTGTTGCTCTCTTACGGCCCCAAGTTCTTGCATTTTGTAAACAGCACTCGGCCCCGTTAGCCACTAAATTGATATCATGTCAGAGGTTAGTCAAGGTGTATACCTGATCAGAGAAATGCCCCGGGTTAACCTGGAGCAGGAACAGTGCTATAACAAGAAAAACAAAAGGAACTAGTTTGACAGAAACGCCCATGTCTTCTGTCAATCTAAAGTTCCTTTTGGTCATCGGGTAAAAAAAACAAGCAAACTTCCCGCATTGTCGCATTCATCAGAATCTGTCCTCCATACAGCTGATCCCGTAGGACCAGCTCCCTACATAGGCAGGCACCACCGTGGACAGCCAACAGTTTGTCCTCCCATCGTGACAGCTCTCCCGTGAAGGGGCTGTTATATCAAGGCGCACAGACAGAGGCAAACAAGCAGATACAAAACGGTATATGCAAATAGGGGAAAGGGGGGTTGCTACCGCTGCTGCGGCCAGGGGAAAAAATTGTACACTACGCCATGTATTTCTGCAACAACCGCTATGGAAAGCTTGGACTGAATACTTTCAATCCATCCAACTATTCCGTTCTTCATAGAAACAAGCAAACTCCACTTTCTTCTACTGGCTTACTGCCGCACCTGCACTTTCCTGCAAGACTGCATCTCTCGATGTTATATGGGCTGTCTCCTTCTGCCAAGAGAAAATATAGCAATTTGAAGCAGCCTGTTGGCTGGCAGATTGTAAAGAGAAATACAAAAAATAAAAGCCCCCACAGCAGGTGTCACCTCAGGGAGATGAACAACTGCAACGCAAGGGGATTTCAAAGGGGGCCTGTCAATCAGCCAGAATGACCTTGAGGGAGCTACACATAGTGGGAACTTAACAAGGTGGCCAGGCACACACGCCACTGATGCAGTCGTCATACACAAGGGTGGTGTCGGCTTTCTTCCGCCATGAAAACAGCTGTGTAGACATGCACAAAACCAAAGGGGGGCGAGCGAGAGATATGCAGCTGTTGCAAAGGTTTACCTTCATTACTCGGCGGGTAATTTATCTTTTATCTTACATCTCCTTGCTGCCTTGAAATGACAATTGCTTTTGATGAGATAGTATAACTAACTGAGAAGTATTTCTTTGTAACACCCTGAGGAGGTTGAAAACGACACACTTACTGACCAAACAAAAATGACTTTTTCAGAGTGAGTAAGTAAAAAGAATTCTCTCTTAAGACATTCTCTTTACCCTGGGTGGGGTCAGTTCTCGTGGGTCAGGGAGAAGGCTGGCCCCAAATATTGCATAAGAGTTTTAGCTCTGTTCAAAGGGGAAAGCAGACCAAACCGCCCCTAACGGGAACCAGACAGGCCTCCTCTGCGCTGGGTGGCTTTCATCAAACACACGCAATTTTTGGCGGCAGGATAAAGTTTAGACTGGTGCTGTGGTAACGCTTGTAAACCTCCGACTTGTGTGGTTTTAGACGAGCAAGAATGGAGCTGGGAAGTTGCGAGTGTTCCTGTTGGCATTTTCTTTTTCTGTTTACGCACAGGAGTGACCATTCATCCGTCGAGTGTGGCAGAGGGGCTTCAGACCAGTCCAGCATTAAAGATCAATTTCCCAACCCTTAAACCAATTTCTTTAAAGTCAAAACAAATGGGAAATTGAAGAAGCCATTGCAAATTAGTTCCGCTATTTCGGATCCGACACCAGTTTCTGAAATTAAAGTTGCCACCAATTGATTTTTGCAAACGAAAAAAACTCATCTCAAATCTCAAACCGTAAATGCCTACAGGCAAAAATGGGTAGGCAGGGAGCAACATTCTACCTGCATGTTAAATGTTTTTCAAGCACTTCCTCCTTATGGTAAATTCAGCATGATTTCTTTGGAGTGAAATGTATTTTCTTCTCCGCTCTTTAGGCCGACGGGTGGCGCACAGCTTTGCGTAGCGTATTAGAGCAGGGCAGAGAAAACGCAAAGAATAGAAAGAATGGAGTAAGCAAGATACTTTTTTAATACGGTCAAAAAATGGATACAAGAGTATAATAATATTTAGTGCCCGGGAGATGCCAATGAGGGCCATGGATGAAAAAGAAAACAGGCCTGCTTCCTGACACGGAGTGAAAACTGAACTCCAACACACGCAATTCACAATATCTAATATAGCAACAGATTCTTTCAGAGTTTTTTTTCCAAGGATTCCCTTTTTGTGTTAACATAGTTTGGAGAGTTGTCCAATATATTAGCATTAGTGGCAATCACTGCAAAATGTAACCATCCCATCAGAGAATAAGAAAGTCTGTTTTTTGTATATGTATTGCCCAACTTATTAGACAACTTATGTCTTAAGTCTCAGACATTTCTTTCAGATCAAAAAAGGACAATACTATTAACTCACACTTAGTCTTTAGTGGCTTAACTTAAACGTCGTGTTTGAACGTGCCCTGTCTTGCTCTGCTGTGTCACGGATAAAACCAACAAAACGTCCTTCTGTATTTTGTTCATCACCCTATTGGGGAACAAGAAAACATTTTCCAACCGGTTTAGCAACATTCTAAAAAAAGGAGCCTACTCCTCCACAGGCACGCGAGCGAAAACCGGCGGACGGCCCGCACGTCTGGGTGGTTCATCCAGCGCGGTGTCTCCCGCACGCCTTTCTGTCTGTCCCCGTCACGGAGTCCGGTTCCCGACACCCCACGCAGCTCGGGGACGGTCTGCCGGGGGCCTGTGGCGCTCTCTAGTGTCCCCGGCTCAGTTACATAAAGCATAGGTCCAACCTTCCGCTTGGACCAGCTTATGTTATTGACACGACCGGTGATTAAGATCGTGTCTTAAAAAAAAACACAAACACACAAAAAAGGGAAATACACGCAGACTGAAACAGTCTGGACGAAGAAAAAAATAAAGGCAACGTCTTTTTTTATTTGTATTGGTGGAGCACGCTTGACTGGCGAGAAACGCGACGACTGCTGCGGCAAGGGACGGGAATAATAAACGGTGCACGGAGAAGAAAGGAAAACAACCCGAAACGGTGCTCGTTTTAACGGGGACAACAAAAGTTACGACGGTTAAAATCCTGCGCGTGCAACTCGCCCTCCCGGCAGCAACTCGCTGGCCATTGTTCGGGCGACGAGCAGCAGACACATTCCTGCGTGCTTTTTAAGCTCGGCCGCTGGGCAACAACTTAATACCCGCTGTCCGAGCAATATTGTAGAAAAGTGAAACATTTTTGTGTGTGTCTGAAATGCGAGCCGGGTGTTAATCTTGGAGACGTAACTTAAGTTAACGCCGCCGCGTTGGTTCCCCTCAAAGAGTTCAACGGAATGCAGACACCCGGGGCTCGCTAGCTTAAAATGTGGCTAACGCGAGCTAAATAGCCGTGGAACATGTGGAATCAGGCCCCCCGCTCTAAAACCAAGTGAGCTACGTAATTAAATAAACGTAAAACAGCGCATTCAAAACCGCTCTGGGGTTCGCTTTTTGTTGTCAACGCGTTGACGTTGATAGACGGTCACTTATATATAAGTGCGTGACGGAAAGTTTTTCGCGTTGTCCGACACGAAAGTCGAGAGCGGAGCAACAACTCCGTGGAAGCCGAACGCTGGAGCGACACAACTCTTTAAATCCACGTCTCGTTGCGGTCTATCGCAGCGACTATCGGCTCCCTTTGCCGTTTCGGACGTGAGGTCGTACTGGGGGAAGTTATTGTGCAACGTCGGTGCAACCGTAGAACCCCCTCACACACCGCTAAATACTCCACGCTTACCTTCGTCGAGAAGCCTCTCCAGGTGTGTGAAGATGCCGCAGAGATTTGGCAAACTGGTCATTAGCTTCTTCTCGTTTAACAATTGCATCAAATAGTCGGGACTCGGCCTCGGTCGCTCCTTCACTTCGACCTCTCCGACCATCATCTTTGCGGCGAGAGCGGAGAACAAACCGCCGTGAAACACAGAATCCTCTTTTTGGAAAAGGAGAAGAAAAAAAACGAAAAAGAATAACAAAAACTCGTGGCTCCAGTCCTTCGCTTCCCTCCTCCTTGAGATGAGAATACTCTGTAAACCCCCCCTTAAAATTCAGGTTTGGTTTGTTCTTGTTGTTTCGAGCGGAGAGGGGACGAAAAAAGAAACCGTTATCTTCCTTCCAGAGACTCGAGCGCAGTATGCGCTCGGGGACGTTCGATTCTACCACTGTGGGCGCGAGAGACTGATCCACCGGAAAGGTTGCATCCTCCTCGACGCCTATTGGCCAGCGGGGCTTACGGTGACTAATGGCGGAACCAATGAGCGCTCGTATCGGAGCCAGCGGGGTGACGTAGGGTGACTGGTGGAATGATGAACAGATATTTGGGCCAATCGAGAGCAGTGCGCAGGAATGCATGCAATGCCCCTCAAGTGTTTTCAACAGAGAATAGCACAAATGTCTCCTTTTCACGTCACGTATAACAAGATTAAATCAATTGTAAATGTCTCCAACAATGATCTTTTTTATGAATTCATAGAATGGCGCTGTCTCCAACGGTCTCATGACGCAAAAAAAGCAGTCCATGACAAAACTGAAAAGAGTGAAAAGTGAAAAGCAAAGTAAATACTTACTAAAGTACAGAGTTAGGACTATTTTTCTCTTCTATTTACTTCTTTGGAATAATTGTCAACAGTCACAGGCCTTTTTCCATTCATATATATGGTCCAACAAAATAACTTTTTTTTTACCAGTTCCAACTAGTTTTGTGAAGCTTCCCTTTCACCCTCCTATATTTAACACTTGAAGGCACAGAACCCCCATTTTTCACATTGTTTTTCAAAGATGCAATTATATGGTTTAGCAATGACGTGTATGGGTCTAATAATCTGGTATGAACCAGTGATCTGGTTCGAAGAGTCACACGTGGGTTGAACGCGTATCCAATCCCCCCCCCTTTGACATAATCTGTGTGTGTGTGTGTGTGTGTGTGTGTGTGTGTGTGTGTATTTGTGTGACAAAGGTATACCTGCCAAGACCAACGAAATCAGACTTTGACTTGCCATGTGTATGCTTCACATTTGAGTGCCAAAAAAAATGAAAACAAAAAATCCTGCTCAATATTTTACCAGATACCCTTTGTTACTCAAGACTTGTACATCTTGTTATCTGTCTTGGGACTGATTGATCAACGTTCCAGTAATCAATAGGGCCTTTTCATTGTCCTGTCCTTGAGAGGACCTCTCTACGTATCCTCTCAAGATTAAAGTCCCTGATCAATGGTACAAACACAACCAAGCTACCTCCTCTCACATCCTGCGTAATGTGAAAATAAACCACAACTGGTCAGTTTTTATTTTAACAGCTGTTGGACGAGGAGGGGCCCGGCTCAATCTGAGCCCTGACCTTGGCCACCATTCAATTTGTCCACTTACTGCTCACCCACTCGTGTCTTTGTAAAAGTACTCCCCACCCTGGGTGCATGAATGCTCAAACAGCTGCACTATGACCTTCTGGCGGCAGTTTGTCGCCACTGCGTTAGCAGAGAGAATAGTAAATTAAATCCAAGCTCTCAGTATTTGTGCAGTACCTCCAATAAATTGTTTGACGAACAATAGATCTGACGATATCTTATGAGTAAGTTTGAATTAACTGAAGTTATATGTTTGTATCATTTATCATTTTAAGTGACAAATGACCCCCAATCAAATCCCATATACAGATTGACAACTGGCTTGCTCTAACAAAAATATCACTAAAAAACATTTTCAATCAGTCTTCCGGTCCCAGGTAATACCATTAGACTCCACGAGCAAAGCAGGAAGACGGTCGCCCTAACATCCTGCTGGACACAGCAGTCCTGCTTCCGGTCAGCGTATATCTGCTATGCTTTTGCTGTATTTATGGCTTTGGTTGAGTCTCAGACTGTTGAATTCTGTCTGTAGCTGTACTTCAACGTGATGTTGTCAACACCTGAAGTATACCACCACCGTCACATCCATTGTCTTCATCGGGCATCTGGTGTTTGCGATTGTCCCAATTTCAACCAGAGAGCCAAACAGAGGTTTTTGCATAATGGCTTGTTAGTGGCACCTTCCCCAATTTAACAAGACATGTGATATTAGTCCCCGCATCCAAATGGTCTGCAATATCAGCGTGCCATCTTAAAGCAAGAATGATAAAACATCCCTTGAAGTCAAACATTGATGAAGGATTCTGGTTGATAAGCGTGTGTAGATAGGCAAAGGGAATGAAAACCCCATTTTCATGTGACTTGGAGATAACTAGATTGTTCATGGTGTTGACTCTATGTCGCCATATCTTTTTTTTCTCCCTTATTCTTTGAGTATAAGTGCTGTAAAATGTCACGGATTCTTTGCGTCAAAAAGAATTTGGCATTTATTCTGAGCTCTGAAAATCAGTTTAGTTCTTATCTCAACGGCAAAGGACGGTAATTTGCACCTTACCTTCCGCTCATTCTTCTGAGTTGGGTCACAAACAGCGTCTGTGTGAGTTGATGTGTGTTCGAAACACAAATGCAGAGTTATCGAGTGAGAGCGATACAGAGTTAGACAGCCCAAGCATCCTTCAATGTGCATGTATGTGTGGGTGTGTGAGCCTCTTCCGACAGCCAAGGAGTAAACAGTTACAATAATAATCCCCCCCCTTTTCCCCTCTGCCCTTGTGTTTTCGTCATTTTTAATAACACGGTTCCTATTGAACAATTAATCCAATTAACGAGGATCCAGATAATGAATGAACACGCTTTTAGCCCCTTTTGAAAAGAGTCTGTTAGCTCACTCAATGAGCTTGGAGAACTGAGAGTATGCTGATGGAAACAATGGGGCCCCCGGTAGGGGCCCCCGTAGCTGGTGGAAGTGTGCCTGCGGGGCCACAGACAGAGGAAAGCCAGTTGGGAGCTGGTGACTGTCGAGGCAACGCCGTCTGTGATAACGGTTGTAGCTCCGGAGGAGGAGAACAGGCTCTGATAACACGCAAACATACAAACAAGAACATCTTTTCCTCTTTCTTTAGGCTTACTAGTTTGGGGACCGTTGTGGTGGGTGGGGGGGGGGGGGGTGCGCTGGCAAAATCTGGGTCATTTACATTTCGAGGATGGCGTGAGCGCAGCGCAACACAAATAAATGTCCTTCTAGCAGCCGCGGCATATACGGAGAAACACACAATGTGCCTATAATTCATTTGAACCAGTATCATAAGCATGACGTGACAAATGCCCCATCCGTGCTCGTGTTCATGCGCCGTTGCTTTCATACTTATTCGTGTGCATTTATTATTGTCAGTGACTGAACGTTATTTATTTGTCTTGAAAATTCCCCCAAGTAAGAATTGCAGACAATAAGGATGAAGGGGAAGGTTGTGTTAGTGGAAGCGACCACTTTCTTATTGTTAAGGATTTTTTGTAGAGATGCAGAACTATTTGAAAACAATTCAAAATTAAATTTTTGTTGAGCAGGTTTTACAGGACCAAAAAAACCCCACAGTTCAGTGTGTAGGTGGTCCCCATCCAGCCGATTGGACTACAGGTTTAAGAAGGACCAAAACACGACCAGAAATGTGCATTTTCAAACTAAGCTGGCAGAGATTGTACCCAGCTGACAGTTAAAGTCAGTATTTTCTCACAGATTTGTGCAGTAAAAGTGAGAAGACGCTTGTTTTCTTCTTTTTACCAAACAAAAATATGATCGCCGATGAGTGGTGGATATTATTCACACAACACAGGCAGAGGTGTCACTTGAAGGTGTGCTACATTGTGGAGCGACACAAGGAAAAATCCATCACAATTCAATCTGAAGCTGCAATGGTCCAGTGTTTCCCATAACCCACTCCGCTCTTGTTGCCAAAGATATTCTGCGTTCTGTATTTCGTTAAAGGTCACCTTGGCTGTTGTTGTCCAAATGCTCCAGCGGTTTGGCAATCCGGTGATGGAAATGCCTGTCGGCCGGCGTGTTGGTGCCCAGACGGGGTGAACCGGGGGGAGCGGTGACAGCAGGAACCACTTGTGGTAGAAGGGGAAACATCACCTCCAAAGTTCCACCTCGGAGTTGCTAATCATTAATTGAAAGGTGGAAATTACGCACAAATCCCGCTTCGCCATCGCACAGAAAGGGGCCCTTTAGCTGAGCTGAGAGGAAAACAAGTTTTTTTTCGCCCACCTCTCCGTCTTCAATCCGTCCCATGTGGAGAACGCAGTAGTGTCAATACAGCTTAAAGAATCCCGACTGTTGCTGCACCCGTCCCCACATATTGTTAACAGTGTAGATCCATTCCTAACTGGAGATGCCTGCATTGTTTACCTGCTCGTTCAACTTTTTGTGCTCGCCGGTAGCTGGGAAAGAAATGAGTGTTTGTGAGCGATAAGACCTGTAGCAGAGGACAAAGAGGGACAGAGAGAGCAGGACAATCCTCATTGATCACATCTGTTCAGAGAAGGATTGATCCTGTGGTGTGGTCTGGGATCTAAACTCACAAACACACACACACACACACACACACACACACACACACAGATAAGAGAATCAGGGTCTGAGGTTTTTGCAGGTTGTATTAATGCTTCAAAGACGTCTTTAGAAGTGAAAAAAAAGGAAAGAAAATGAGCCCCTCTTTAAAAGTGTTGTACATTATTCCTCCACCCTTGAATTAGGCCAGCGAATCAGACACCTGGCAGACAGATAAATCTCCATTGTGCTGTCCTTTAATGCACACGCTCAGTAGCTCCCTGTACGAGCGCGGCGCCCCCCTGTCAGACGAGAAGGAGACAAATCATTCCCAGGGGGGCATTTATTTATTTTCCACGACACGATTCCTCTCCCTGCGAGTCCTAACAATCTGCCTTTTGAGGCTATGACACTGGAACAAGAAAGACAGCTCAGCAGTCGGAGGGACAGGAGGAAAATAGGGAAGGAAGTGATAAAGGGGAAGACAGATGAAGTATTTCTGAGTATTTGATGAATCCATAAAGTTAAGTGTTGGTTGAATGATTTGATTTTCTGCGACGTTGTTCATTCAGATCGAAATGTTCAGATAAAGGAGCGTGATGATATTAGTTGAGCGCCGGTTGTCACTTGTGAGGGAAAAACTACCACCGTCAGCACCACCACCACCACCTCTTTCTTTGGTCTCTTATTCCTCTTTCTGCAGCCGGCTGCTTCTAAATCTCAGGTCTGGGCGGAGTTAGACAGCTCTCTCTGCCAGGCGACACAACCCTCCACTTCCCT